CCGGTTAGCAGTCGCGGGTAGCATTTAGCCTAGCTCCTTAGCCTGAGCTAACCAGGAAACGATAAGCTCTGTGGGCGTGGCTCGGTTGTCAGTCTTCACTCGGCCCGCCTAGCGCCCACTCGCGCGCCGCCTTTTTGCCCATTTATGGGTTAGCCCGGAACTAGGAGGAGTCAGGCCCCAGCAAGATGGCGCCGGGTGAAACGCCCACTACGAGCCTCATTTTCACTCTACAAAAACCAACGGGTGACGTCACGGACACTACGTCCATCTTTATATACAGTCTATGATCCTAACCCTAACCCCTAACCCCTAACCCTAACCCTACTAAAACTTCTCGTTTGACCCCTTTCAAAGGTCGTACAAGCTCAGAGATGATTCAGTCATTCGTTTTTCAACATTTATTTAAGTTTATTAAGGTCACATGATCAGAGCAGCACTAAGGTGACGAACACAAGCACAACACTGGAAAACATCTTGAACATCTGTTACATCAACATGCATCTTCAGCAGATCTGACATTGATCAATATTATTAAATAGTCAAATAATCATCATTGGTATCAATAATTCTTTTTACTCTTCAGGATTATACTTTGACCAGTTTCCTTCCTGATCATGTGGAACCAATGAAGATCACTAACATAGTATCATCATCAATCAACTAATTAAAACAAACAGATCAGACACATGAACACTTCAACAAACATCAGTGAGATAAGAACTACCTGAAATGACAAACATTCACGTAACGATAACTTTTTTAGTTTGGTCTGCTAACATGGGTTAGGGTTTTAGGAGGGTTTTTTTAGGAGGGTACTGTAGACAGACACCAGGGTTAATGTCATTTTCACTATCTCTGTTTACTTTAGTTGTTTATTCTAAAACGTAGGTTATTGGTTTTCATGTTTGATTTGTGATCAACATTCAGTTATCAATTGATATTTGATCAAGAATCGGTTTCAGCCCTAATGAGCGCCACTCATTGCTTTAAAAACAAAACAAAATTCTATTAATGCCCAAAACAATCAATGCATTTCAATCACCTGATACCTAAGGGCGGCTTGTACTCAAACCAGAAGGTAAGTGGCTCGAATCCCAACCCATGATGACGTGTCCTTGGGAAAGATGCTGGGCCCTAAATGGACCAACATAGATGTTGAATGCAAAAATTGGAAGATTTGGATAAAAACATCAGCTAAATGACATGCAATGTAACATGTAAACATACTGTATAAAATCACTTTGCATTTCATGAATCTGGTATTTTCTTGAGGCAGAAAGAAACACATTTCAGAATAAATTTAAACGTTTTTTTATAACTAAATCCAAAATTTTCATGATGAAACATGTTTAATGTGTCAACAGCTTCTTTTATGTTTCACGTGTTTTACGTGTTTTAATGTGACATCACATGGCGAGCACACTCACTGAAGACCACCACATCAGAGCAGCTACACTTTTCATTAGCAATGCTTACATGTTATACATATATTGATGTCTAACAACTCTTATGTCAATAATAGCTCATAGCAGCTACTACACAGCACTAAAATAATAGCAACTCTGCTTCACTTTGTGTCTGATGTTCAGACTCTAACTAAGCTTCACTCATTACTGAATTTTGTTTCTCTATTACAGAAATGACTGATTAGAAAATGTTACAATAAAAACATGCAGCAGCTTCTATAGGTCATTACTGAGCTTCATCTACATCTATCAATGTTAGCATGCAACACCAAGACTAAACGTACAGACCAGCAGCAACCGCTCCTCTGACCTCTGAAAGTCAAACTTTTAAATACAACTCATCTGATCAGAAGCTCCGGATTTGTTCAGAGGGCAGAGAGACAGCTCCTACTGGACCCTCAGTGCTCTCTTGATCTTTTATGATGAGGTCAAAGGATGCTCTCGCGCTCCTCGCCAAAGGTGACAGTGTCGGAGGACATGGCGCAGATTTCTGGCGGGTCCCCAGGATTCAGACCCCTCTTGAGGTGCACCACACGGACATTCTCATTATTCGGCCCTGGTCTGGTGGCGGCAGTCCCAGAGGATCCGGTGGTCCCGGAGCTCGGGGAGATGATGACATCAGCAGACGACGAGGAGGTGGGGTTGGACTTAGAACCCTCTGCAGACTGGCGGGGATGGTTGCCCTGCTGGGAATTGGTGTTGTTGTTGAGCGTCACATTGCTCGGAGTGCGGTTAAGGTTGTAAGTCTTGGAAGAGGGCCAGCTCTCCTCAGGGCTGCTGGCCAGCAGGCTACACTGGTCCTCGGAGCATATAGACATGCGAGCGACAGCTGGATCCTGGAGGCCACTGAGGCTGCTGGGAAGACCTCGCTTCCTGGCCAGGCTCTCCTCGTCCAGCTCAATCAAGTTGGCCCTCTCCAGCTGTGAAAGGTCCGCCTCCTCATCCTGCAGCGAGTGGTTGGGGGAGCTCTCGTTGGAGCGCACCCCGGAGTCGGACGAATCCTTCTTGTCTAGCATGGCATCCGACAGGTAGTCCTTCCCCTTCAGTGCCAGTGAGCCACCAGGCAGTTTGGGTTCTCCAACCCTCTTGCCATCTTTCAGCAAGGGGGCATTATCTGACTCCTCAGACTCCTCGTCATCACTGGTCAGCTTCTGGTAACGTAACCCTCCACCAGCCTTCAGCTTTAGGTCAGCGGCACCCTGGAACAGCCCACCTCTTTCAGCTGAGGTTTTGTGGGTCAGCAGGGACTTGGAGGATCTGTGGTCCCCCTTTTCATCCTCCTCCGTGATGGGGTCGAGGGCATCGCCATTGGAGGTGAAGTCAGTGTCTGACACCACCTTGCTGCCACTCCTCTTAGTGAAGGGTTTGTGTCCATCCTGCTCAACTATGTCCTTACTCTTGTCATCTGAAGATGATGTCATAAACTGTCCCGGCTGTGGTTGAATGGGCTTCTCTCCACCGCCGCCGCCGCCCATCTCCAGCTGGGCCATCTGGGCAATGTACTCCTGGTAAGCGCTGCGGTACTCAGATTGCTGCTTGTCAGTCAGCTTGGAGATGTCGTTAGATGACTCCTGGGAGTTCAAGCTAGTCATGCTGGCGGTGCGATGAGCTCCACCCTGATGAGAGAAGAAAGGTTTTCAGTGTCCTGTTTGTTGTTGTGGTTGTTTCATCAAAATTAAAAACAAATGATAAACATGTCAAATGCAAATTATTGATTCTAATTAAGGGTTAGGGGTTATTTTAAATATAGATTTGAAAAACGTTTGACTTTTTGAAAATTATTCTGAATGAATTAAAGAATCAGTCTGAGCAAATAAACAAATCTAAAAGAAATTTTAACACATTCCAATTGCAAGGTTGGAAGGTCAGAGGTCATCTTTCATGTATTTACCATCCACTGAGAGTTTCCACGTCGCGCTGGTTCGTCCAGTCCCACGGTGCTCAGCTCCTCGAAGCTCAGGTTGAAGCTGTACATCGGTGAAGCATCTGTGTTGGCAGCGCCAGCGTGAGGCTGTTTCACAACCCGCCTTCCTGCTTCAGTGTGAGCTCCAACAACGCTGCCTTGCTCACTGGCTACTTCCTCATGCAGCACCCGACTCTCTATATGACGCATGTCCAGAACCTGCAAGAGAAGAACAAGACATTTACATAATACTTAGAGTGATCCAGAGTAGTTTTTTCTAGAGACTATGACATCAGCTGAGTTTGAAGAGCATCAACATTTTGTTTCAGTGAGATGTTTATTTAATAATTGTTCAAAAAGATTAAAAAAGCA